TCCACACCAGGGGAAATAAACCCACAACTCGTGGGGCTTATACTACTTCAAGTCAGCTAAGTGAGCTGCCTTAGTGGATGTTTGATTTTTCTTTACTTCAAGTGGCCTGTCTGCTTCTTCTGTGGCAAAGAGGAGGAATATCCTCCCAGAAGGCTGAGAGGACAGCTGTTAGCGAGAAGTGACAGCCTGAGAGCGAACAAGAGGGACGTTTTGTCATGTTACAACCACAAACATCGTCTTGATTTAATGGGATGCGTCAACTTGATATGTAACAGAGAAGTGGAAGGAAAATGAATCATAGTTTTAAAACATTTGAAGCATTTTTGTGCACAAAAATCTGAAAAGTGTAGCATAAATATGTTTTGATTGATTTATTTACTCCGGGTTTTTTTTTTATTGGCCTGTTGTAATTTTCAAATTTTAAATGCCACATTTTCATCAGCTGTCAGCAAAAAATCATCACGATTGAGACAAATAAAGGTATTAAAACATCAGACTTGGTCTAATTAGTAAATGACGTGTTTCACTTGGTGATGGAGTTACCCAAATAAATTCAATTTTCAATAACATTCTAATTTAATAAAGGGGTCTATAGATCTGTACTTTGACTGGGCAATGTTAGCACATGAATATGTGACAGATCATAAGAAATTTTTATTATTGGTAGTATTAAACTCGAAAGTTATACAAAAACAAATATGCTGAGCTCACGAAAGAAGTCAAAGAAACAAAATTTAAAAAAGAAACCCAACAAGTCATGAACTTAACACACCAACTGACAGAGTACATAAATGCAACAATCACTAACTAAAAGAAAACAAAACGGTACCGTTAAGTTTGTTAACAATAAAAAAAAAACTAACGAAGGAAGTCAAAACCAGAGAATTCCCGCTCTCCAGTGGGAGTTGGTGGTGCAGGACCATTAACCCTTCATGTGCTTAGATGTGCTGAGCTCTGGTCACCATCTCTTGTCTGTAAACTCCGGGTTCAGGGGTCACCAGGGGATGCAGAGCAGAGAGAAAATCAGTCGAGACCAGAGCCGAGAGAGCTGAAATGGTAGGAGGCAGTGACTTACAGGTGTGCAGACGCTCCTGCACACACGCGCTGAGCCACTCAGTGTGGTAACAGAAACCGACATCAATAATGTAGCTGAGAGAAACAGGATGCAGATTCAGCCTGAACACAGGAGTTAACAGACCAGCCGTGAAGAGCCCGTCAGTCTGGGTTCTGCCCTCAGGCCGGATGCACGCCTGAGCATTTCTTAAGCTAATTAGCCAAACAGAAACACTTGGGCTAAAAAAACTTGCTAGAAAAAAAAAACAGCAAAAAATTTTAGTGCCAAATTGAAAACCGTTTTCTAAAACTGACAAATAAAAATAATTTACATAATATAGGTAATTGTATAAATATTCACACCTGTTTAGAGACTGTCTACAACAACTGCTGCCCAGGCTCTTCATCTGTCAAAGGCAATGAGAAAAACACTGTTGAAGAAAACTCATCAATGCTGCACTAGAGTTTGCCCAAAGGCATCTGGGAGGCGGCGTTGTTAGAGAAGGAAAGTCTTTTTGACCATCAGACAAGGCGCTGTGTTTGGCAGACAACAAACACTCGGAGGTCTTCTTGGATCACTTTCCTGCTGTATGTTTTCAAGTAGAAGCTGGAAGTTCATGTTTCTTTTGATCATGAACAGGCTTTGATTTCCTGCTAACAAGTTGTCTTGTACTTGGAAGAAGCGTAGCAGCCACAAACCACCATGCCGTTTTGGACTGTGAAGTTCATTTTATAAAATGTTCAGTTAGTTTCTACAAGACCCCAAAAAAAAATAAAAAAAAAAAAAAAAAAACACGCACAAAATTTCAACTTTATCTCATAAGTCCACTGAATACGTTACCGAAAGACTTGACTCTCCAAGTGCATAGATGAAAGTTCAACACTGGTCCATGTTTTCTCCGTTTATGAATTAAGCATCTCGGTGTGGTTCGCTGGGGTCACGAACCCTGATAGGCTGACAGATGTCAATCTGACAGTACATTTGTCTTGGTTGGGGCTTTTCAAGATGCTTCACGTTATCAGACAGGTACAAGTAACAAGTGGGGACGGGGGAGGAAAATGTTAAAATAGCTCTCTCAAGTTTTTTCTACCTATCATGACCACATATCCAAGGCCAGAAGATCTACTTCATATTGACTAAAGCAACATCCACCGCAGCTCTAAGACAGAAAACTGCTGACTACAGTCATTTATTATTCGCCTTAATGGTCGCCACATGGCAAGAATCAATACGCAAAGCATAAACATGCCCATGACTTAAAATGAAAATCATATTAATGTGAGTCTAAAATTTATATACTGCAAACTTTCTGTAGCAGCTAGTAGTGCTACGTAGCTAAGGCTAGCTTGTGAACGGAAAGCTTCCTCTTTGAATCAGTCAGTTTGACTGTGTTTACAGGCTCTGATTTCCTGCTAACTGACTGCTCAGATGTGTGTCTATGCGTGTGTGCTTGTAAATCAATAATTATGGTAAGGTGTTAGACAGCTTGCAGTGTATGCACACATTAATCTGAAAGTATGAAGTTGTTTCTATGAAACTGCTAATGTAGGCACATGTATGTGTGAACCACAGCTTTCATGTATTAAAAAAAAAATGTGAGTGTGAGTTGAAGCTCATCATGCTTGTGCTATCCTTTTTCTGCCACATTGCCATGGTGACAGTGCCCTCCCGGGGTAATGGGGACGAGTGCGCCAGAGCTATTTATTCTCTCGTTCTCCCTCTTTCCTTCCATCGTTCTTTCCATCCACCCATGGCCCTCTCTTTCTCTCTCTCTCTTTCTCTCCCTCTCTTCATTTTCTGCCACCTCTCTCCATCTTCCTTTGCCCTCTTCCTCCTGCAGCCTCACCGTCTTTCCATCTCCCTCCTTTCTTCCTTCCTCGGCTCTTTCTTCCTCTCTGTGATTGGCTTAACACTCTCCTCCTCAAAATGAGATAGTGCTTAATGAGACAGAGGGTGAGGAAGAAGAGGAGGAGGGGGGGTGACAAAGAGCAAGTGTTTTTCTTTTTTCATATAAAAAAAAGAGGGAAGGGAAAATTTCTGGAGGAGGAGATTAATGCAAATTTGTGTTTCTTGTTTGGTGTAAAAAGAGAACATGGATGCACACCTTGTTCTTGTGTATTTTTACATTTGGATATTTAGCCTTTTTCTGTCTTATTGCAGGACTTTTGATTCTGAACGTCTGAGTGGGAAGAGTGAAGTAAGTTTTTCTTTACTTCCTCTAAAAGTCATTCAGAATATCAGATATTTATTCATCAACACTCTCAGGGTTTTTAGCTCAGACCATTCGCAGGTCCTGAATTGGTCACAAATGTTGACACGCTAACTTTTTTTCATGGCTTTTTATGTCAAAGCCACAAAAATGTTATGTATTTTTTAAGAGCTTAAGTGGTAGACAAACATAAAGTAGTTTGTAATTGTGAAGTTGAGTGAAAATTAAGGACTTTTTACAAATTAAAATTGGACTGCACATTTTGTATTTCCAACCCCTTTGCTATGAAACCACTAAATAAAATCCATTGCACCCATGAGAGTCCACTTGTGTGTAGTTTAATCCCAGTATGGATGCAGCTGGTCTTTGTTGACCTCTGAGGTTTGTTAGAGAACATAAATGTACAAAGATGAAATAGTTAAGCTATAAAACAACATCTCAATCTGGGAAAATCACACAGAGATCTGTTCAATTCTTATTTAAAAAAAAAAAAAAAATCAAATTTGGTGAATTTGAAACAAAAGTACCGACACGTACCTATATGTGCCGTCAGTGGACACATGAAGCAACCTGTCCAATGGGGTGCAGGGACTTGACCACCATGAAAAAACAATCAACTCAAAACAAAGATTCATTTTAGGTGCATATTATTATAAAAGTCTTGGGATTAATAAAAGAACAAAATTATTATCTCTCTCTCTGAACGGTTGTCATGACGATCTAGAAACATCAGGGCTTCCAGCCACCCTGGGCCACACACAATACAAGGTAAATAAAAATTCAAAAGGGCACCTTTTTTCACCAGAGGAAAAACGTGCAGGTGCTCTAGCACCACCTAGTGTCTGTCTGTGCACATCTCTGTCAAAAAAAAAAAAAAAGATAGTTGAAACATTTTTGACATATTTTAAACAATAAAAAGGCCTCGCATCCTTTAATCTCACCAACTCTCTCTCTCTCTCTTTCACATGAACAAACTCCAGCATTTAACCAGGGAGGGACAAATGAGACGGTGATGGAGGAAAAATTAGACGGGAGATGGAGACGGTAGGAGGTTAAGGTGGAGCGGAAGAAAGAGTAATAAGCGAGGGAGGGAGAGGGGGAGGAGAGGGTGGGAGCGGAGATAAATGGCTGAGGAGACGGTGAGATGAGTGAAGTCAGAGCGCAACACTGTGTGACACACTGCAGACGGGAAGACTAACGGAGCGAGAGGAGCGGAGGGGTGAGGAGGGGTGAGGAAGAGGAGGCACGTCAGACCCCCCCTCACCCCCTCCCTCGCTCTATTTTCTCCCCCTGCCTCCCCCGCTGTGTAGCAGACCTTTGCTGGATGGTAACAAGTAACTCGGACGGCTGCAGGACACACATACATTCTCTCTCTCTCTCTCTCTCTCTCTCTCTCTCTCTCTCACACACACACACACACACACACACACACAAACACCCACACACACACACACACACACACACACACACACACACACACACACACACACACACGCATAAAAGACAGATTTCCTGAAGATTATGTCATGCATGCACCTCTATGTGTGTTGAATAACATTCTCTACATATTTTAAAGGTAAAAGAAAAAAAGGTTGTTCTCTGAAATCAGCCTTGGGTCACTTTGACAGTTCTCTCTCTCTCTCTCTCTCTCTCTCTCTCTCTCTCTCTCTCTCTCTCTCTCTCTCTCTCTCTCTCTCCTCCCACCTGAGCTGTAATTTGCAGGGCTGATGAGGGTGAGGGCAGAGCAGAGGCAGGAGCAAAATTCGCCAGACACACTAACACACACACACACTCTCTCTCTCTCTCTCTCTCTCAGACAGGCGGCTGTGCAGCTGCGCCGTTTACAGCTACAAACTGTGGGAGAATCTGATCCTTTTGTGCGAGTGTCTGTTTGCTCTTTCCTAACCTCGTCTTTCCCCCTCTTTTCGCTCTCTCTCTCTCTCTCTCTCTCTCTCTCTCGCCCTATCGCTCTCTCTCTCTCTTTCTCTCCACGTCCCCTCCTCTCTCCGTGCTCCCTGTTGGTGTATCGGTGTGTGTTTGTGTGTGTGAAACGTGGGGATAACAGACGCTTATGTGAGCAGCCTCAGTGGCTGGCTGGCTGGCGAGAGAGAGGGAAGGAGAGGAAAGGGATAACAGAAGCCACCGCCATCATTCTGATCGGATTCACACCAGACATGTGAGAAGATGTCCGTGGGCGGCTGCGCGTGTCCCGGTGAGTACACCGCCGCTGACTTTAACCGCTTGGTTGTTGTTGTTGTTGTGGTTTTGGTCAGCGAGTGAAGCTGGGAAGAAAGAAAAAAGAACAAAAAAAAAAAAGAACAAAAAATGAGGAAAAAGGATGCCCCTTCGGGGGGCCCTGAGGTCCTGCTTGCAAAGACTCATGGGAGGTTGACCTCTCTTAAAAAGTAGAATCGATGGAGGTGCAACATGTTGTCTAGCTTCAGAGTGTGAAAATGAAAGGAGATGGAGATCTTTGTTGGCCTGCCCACATCTGAGCGTGAAGTTGCTGCTGTTGCTATGGAGCCACAAATGCAACTTCTTCCTCCACTTGTTTGCGTTTCTTTGGCAGGTAAAAAGTTGGCACTCCTCCTCCGGTTTGTGGCAGAGGAGAAAGATCAGAGTGTGACATTTGCAGGGCAAAGCTCAGTGGCACGGATCAGAGGCGTGCATGATTGATTGTTGGACCTTTCCCTCCCCACCGCCACCACCACTAAGGAGCTATTAATGAATGTTTCATGTCTCACGACTCACATGGGAGTTTGTCATTTAGGATCCAGAAAGAGGCTGATGAGCAGGAAGAGATCGGAAAAGCAGATCGGATTAGAGAAAGTGTCTGACATGAGAAGCTCTGATGCATTTGTTTGTCCGTCATCGTTACCAGCTTTAGCATCTGTAACGATGATGGATTTACTGTGACTTTAAAATGCGTTGACACAACTTTGGTTTCCCACATTTTGTCCTTTTACAGCCAAACGCTTCAATGCATTTCACTAGTACTTCATGTGACGGACCGGCAGAAAGTACAGCATAACTGAAAAGTGAAAGGAAAATGATGTTTTACCAATAAAAACGTCGAGGTCAGTTATTTTCAGAGCCACGTTTAACTTTGTTTGCAGTCTGAAAATGGAGTTTCAGACTGTAAATGAAACTTCATTTGCTGGTTTTTACTTATTTAGTTTTGCATAATTGGTCAGTATCAGAGGAGCATCAAAGAATATACATTTTCCAACTGTCCCACAAATTTTAAATTGGATTTAATTTTGGACTCTGATCCAAAACCCACGTGTCTGCAGCGCTGCTTCTTCCTGCTGGAATTTGAACATCCACCTCAGTCTAAAGACTGTTATTTTTATTTCTTTCTTTGACTGTCTTTGTTTTAGCTCTGCCCATTTTCTCATCCAATTAAATCATCCTCCCTGTCCCACAGCATGATTATGCTACAATAATATTTAATATTTTACCGATATTTTAGTTTTCTGTCATTCATGGTTTTATCTGACCAGAACTTGTGGCAAACTTTAAACAGGATGGTTTTTTTTTCTACTATGCTGTTCTTGACACTTTCCATAAAGTCCAGATTTGTGGAATGCGCATCTAAAGGTTTCTCTGTCACCAGATTTCACTACCTGAGCTGTGGCTCTTTGCAGCTCCCCCAGAGTTGCAGTAGGCCTCTCTTTGATTAATTCACTCCTTGCCCAGCCAGTCACTTTAGGTGGGCATCCATTTTTTGGTTGGTTGGCCGTTGTGTCACTTTCTTCTCCTGAGCTCTAAGAGACGTTTAAAGTTTGGGGTATCGATTTAGAGCCTAACCCTGCTTCAAACCTCTCCACAACTTTCTCCCTGATTTACAAACACTGATATTTATACTGGATTTTATTTAGGGAAACCAGAGCAAATTCACAACTATGCACTCCTTTGTCACAGAAACTCCCAATAAAACACCATTCAGTTTGTGTTTGTGCTATAAAAAGACATTTAAAAGTTACATTTGTATGAATACAGTGTAATTCTTGCTGCATTTCCACAGACCGTATAATTGCGCAAATTGGAATTAAGAAAATAAATTCTCTTAATGGAAACGGGTCAATTTAGAAAAAAAACAACAACATTTTTTGATAGCTTTTGAATATGGAAATTTGTGTATTTTGCAAAACTGCAATGGAAACATTTTTTCACTTCACACGAGTCATGTGACGAACAGCCAGATGTTACTACTGCCGGAAAAGACGAAGAAGACGACAGGAGGTGGTAGGAGGATGACGGCGCTGTGTGTTTTTAAATGCTTTAAGTCATTCGCATGTGATTTTGATTGCATTTCTTTTTAAACGGAAACACCACAATTGCAAAATTGTGTTTCCTCAACGTCAGCAAGATATAAAAAAAAAGTTTTGTGCACATTTGTTATGGAAATGCAGCTACCGTTTACCGTCCACTTTAAATTTCTTAAAGCACAAAGTATTATACATGTTACAGTTACTCCTATCGGTACTTGCTGCCTGGGTTCTCTGCCTTCTTGTGAACCATTCGTTGGTTCTTCTATGTTCCCAAATTACAAGAGGATTAATCTGTAGTCCAGCCAGTGCTGCCACAGGGAGCTGAGAGGAACCTATCCATCACATCTCACCAAACTGATAGAGGAATGACTTCCGAGGAGCAAAAGTTGTGTTTGGGTGACAGCAAACAGATGATCCTTCTCATTGCATTAACTTTAATCAGTCTGAGGAGAACAGAAACAAGAAGAATTGAGGTCTAGAAATAAACCCCACCGCTGCTGGGCCGGAGGCGGTCTATTATTAAGTGTTACAGCGATTTATGTAGCACCCCTGATAGGAGGTGCAGGATGTTGAAATATAATCCTGACACTGAAAATCTATTCATAATCATGACAGATGTGCCTTCATTTCTACAGTACGGTGTAATATTTAGCAGCAGGAGGGGAGAAAGTAAAGCACGGTGGAAGTTGTGTGGAGGTGGCCTCGTCTCTTCCCCCCCCTCCATGCAGGACCACAGCAGCCGCAGCGGTCAAACCTCAAACAGCCGGGCTTGTGGATGAGGGAATTTACCCGACCGCTCATCTGGGATCACGTTTCCCGACTTTAAAAAAGACGTAACCCTAAACCGGTTCCATGTTCTTGAGGTTCTGGAAACTCTTTAGCTGGCGGATTATTTCAAAATGGAAAGTTAAGAGGGAGCAAAGCTGAGAAGCAGTGCCAGATTCCTCTTCTGGGAGACTGATGTTAAAGGCTGGGCGATGCAGGGAAGTGTCGACGCTGCGATCAAATCAGACAAGGATGCATTCTTCAGAGATACACACACACACACACACACACACAGCTGCATGGAGGGGGGGAACGTATACCTTGCATCAGAGTAAGCTGCATGCACACAGCAGCCTTCGTGCAGACGTGTGTTTCCAATCTGTGTGCAGCGCCCCGTGCTACGAAGGCAAACGCTGCCACCTCAGCCGTTAAACGAGCCTGCGCAGCAGAGGCAGGAGCGTTTGTTTAGAACCGAGCCTCCTCGGCTATCTTGCGGTCGGATTGCATACTTAATCAACATGGTCATGGAAATTTCCAAAAAAAGACGTATGACTGCACTAATTCTCGCACTCCGATTGTTCGGTCTGGTGTTCCCTCTTTGTTTTGTTGCTTCAGCTTCTCTGCTTTTGCTTTTTCACCAGGCTTGTGGTTTAATTTCAGAAAGAAAAGGAGTTTTTTTTTTTTTAACTCGCAAATACAAGAACTTTAGTTTGGAAGACAAAAGTAGGGTTTTCATTTCAGGAGTGACATGCTGGGAAACAAGGTGTTTGGATTTATAAAAAAAGAAAACCTCACCTGCACTCACTCACACACACCGAGGTAACTGAAAACCAATGTAAACACGACCTCCAAATACGGAACAATCATCTCCATTCATTCATGTCAACTCCAGATGAACCCCCGGCTTGACCCAACGGAGGCGCTGGTTTAATTTGCACATTTACAGCCACGTCAGTGCTCCCTCTCTGCTTTTATAACACCGAAAATAAATCAAAGAACTTATGGAGCTGCTTCTACATTCAGTCACTCTACAACTGCAAACTTCAAAGTATTTTATAGGGACAGATGTGGTAGAGCAACACACTTCAGATTTGGTATGCGAAAGAAAATGCACATGTAACATGAAACTCTAAAAGGAGTGCCATACGTTTGATTCAGCACTTTGTAGGACCACTTCTTGTTGAGTTTCCAGCTTGAAGTGTTTTGTGGTTTGTCTCTACCTGCTTTGCACATGTAGAGACTGAAGCTGTTGCCCATTTTTCTTGGACTTTCTTTGACTTCCAACGCATGAATATGTTTCGATCTAAACCGTCCCATTACAACTCTGACTGTAAGCTTAGGGTCGTTATCCTGCTGGAAGTTGAACTTTTACATCAGTCTCGACTTCGATTGGGTTCTCTTCCTGGATCGCACTCAAATTAGCTTCATCCATCAACTATTCCACCTGAAGAAAAGCGTCCCCACAGTACTGCCACCACCATGTTTTGTGTGTGCAGCGTTGAGGCTCTCCCAAACTTCATGCAAAGCCGAGCAGTCGATGTTCGTATTCACACACCTTCCATAAACGGCGCAGGCCAGCTGGGTGACACCCCTCCTGCTTCAGTATACGTCACGCCCCTATAGCATGTAGGGAAACGGTCAAGGACAGAGCGCCACACCTTCCTGCAAACAGCCTCTTCCAGGGACAATGACTTGGCAATAACCATTAAGGAATTTTTAGACTCTTGACAATCTTTGTAGGCGTTTTGTGAAGACTTGCACGAATGTTCGTAATTCCCCATTGCATTGGATAAGAACTATTTGTGTCTCCTGCAGAATCAGATAGGGGAGAAATTGGAAACAGACTAGTTGAAGTGAAAAATATTAATTTCTGTCCGAGTGCATTTCTGCATAAATCACGTCCGCAAACTTCTGACCAATCACACAACACTTCACAAAGAGTTTTTTGCAAAATAGTTTGACCCGGACCTGTTGTCGAGATGGAGGATGCTTCCCTGCAAACAAAATGACACAATTTTCATCACGCGTCTCCGTCTATGAGAGTCGATTTTGATGCTTCAGAAATCAGCTCTCATATGGGAGAGCCATTACTTTTCTGCTCCACAATATGTGTCTCGTTCGTCGGCCAAAGAGTTCAGTTACGGTCTCGTCTGGCTACAGTGCGTTACCCACA